AGAACACACTCCACATTTTGCCGATTAATAATGAAAATCATAATTTAAACATAATAAAAGAATATATATCTATTGCTTTTCATCATACCCGATAAATACAGTATGAACAAATTACCAATGTATACTTTTCACAAGATAATAAATAAGTTAAATAATTTCATATTGAGTTGTGTGCAGTGAACTCATTCATGCAATCAACTCAAACAGCTAAAAAAAAATTTTAAAAAAATCAGCAGTTATTCTCCAACAATTACAAACTAAACTCAGTTGAGTGCTTCCAAATAAAGCAACAACAAAAAATTGTTCTAAGCCAAACATCCACTAAGTGGTGGCAATGGAACCAATATTAAACTTTGGAATGAAGGTTTTAGCATTTGTTATAATAATAATATATAGATATATAAAAAAAGTTGTTATCAAGGCATATTCTTGGCAGGATGTTGGATTCTTTTTTTTCCTAAAAAAAAAAAAGCTTATAAGTTTAGTATGTTCTGTGTTTTTATTTGAACTGGATTGAAACACAAACTAGTTTGTAACTTCGTTTTCGGTGTGTCTGCAGGTTTGGAGGAGCTGGGCAGGAAGAACCGGCGCTCCCCAGATTGTTTGTTGCTTTCTGGTGGTGTCTTTTCTAATGCTAGTTTGTTTTTGTTTTTTTTTGTTTCGAACACAGATGGAATGGCTGCTGCTGGTGCGTATCATAACTTGTCTCCAAAGAACAACAACAAAAAAAAAAAAAAAAAAACCCGAAACAAAAATCCCCTTCTTCCAAGGTCTCTCTATAAAAATAGGTTTGTTCAGTTCGTGTCATTTGCCCTTTTGCAAAATGCTTTGTTTCTCGTTTTGTTCAGCTCTCGGTGTATAGATAGACATATAAAAAAAAAAAAAACACCAAAAAATAGAGAAGAAGGAGAGGTTTCGCTTTCTTCGCTCGGTCACTTACTTGCAGGGCCGCCGCGGGCCCCCCCCGGCCGGTCCCCCGTCCCCCCTCAATCGTCGGAGATGGAGAGGCGGCTGAAGATGGGCAGGCGGCGGCCCGAGTCCAGGCTGGGCGACTCGGAGCCGCTGAGGGAGCCGGAGCTAAGGGAGCCGCTCAGGTAGCTCTCCCGGTCGGAGAGCGAGTCCGGCGGGCTGGGCGGCGCGTCGAAGACGGGCGACTCGGAGAGGCGGCGGAGGGGCTGGAAGCTGAAGGGCGGCGAAGCGGGGGGCGGCGGGCAGCCCCCACCGGGCGGCGGCGGCTGCTGCTGGCAGCGGTAGTAGGCGGCGGCAGCGGCGGCCGCGGCGGCGGCAGCGGCGAAGTTCTGGGTGTGCAGGGCGAGGGGGGCGATGAGGCTGCCCAGCTCCTGCCCCGAGAAGGCGAAGGCGTTGTTGGCGCACGGCGGCGAGAGCAGCTCCTCGCAGTAGGAGGCGGAGGCGGGCGGCGGCGGCGTGCGCGACCCGCCGGGGCTCTCCAGCAGGGCGGCGTCCAGGCGGCCGCCGGGAGGCGGCGGCGGCGGGGGGGCGCCGTGGGGGTGCGGGGGGTGGTGGTGGTGGTGGTGGGCGGAGAAGCCGGAGAAGCTCAGGCTGTGGTGGAGCTTGGGCCGCTCGCCGCCGCCGCGCGGGTGCCCGAAGCCGCCGCCGCCGCCCAGCGGGTGGTCGCGGGGGGCGAAGGCGCGGAGGTCGCCGGTGCTGCCGGCGGGGTGCGGGGGCGGGTGGTGCGCATGGTGGTGCGGCCCGGCCGCGGCGGCGGCGGGTGGGGGGGCGGCCGTGCCCCCGCCGGGCGCCGGGCGGCGCTCGTCGGCGTTGTGGATGAAGTGGCAGCGCGGGCCGTAGGGGCAGAAGCCGATGGTGTGGAAAGTGCGGCAGAGCTCGGTCTTGTACTTGGGGTGGCGGGTGAGGCTGCGCAACTCGTGGAAGCCGTGGGCGAACTGGCACTTCTCGCCGTACTTGCAGGCGCCGCTCTCCTCGAAGGGGCGGCACAGCTCCGTCTTGTAGCGCGTCGAGTTGATGGGGGCCCCGCCGCCCCCGGAGCCGCCCCCTTTGCCGGCCGCCTGCTGCTGCTGCTGCTGGAGCTGCTGCATGAGGTGCTGGCTGCGCTCGCCGTTCTCGCTGAAGGAGCGGTCCCGGAACTTGTTCTCCTTGTTGAGCAGGGCCGTGGGGCTGCTGCTGCCGCCGCCGCCTCCGCCGGTGCCCGTCTCCTTCAGGCTGCCGAACGAGGAGGAGGAGGAGGAAGAGGACGAGGAGGTGGAGGAAGAGCTGGAGCCGGTGGGGCTGGGGAACTTGGAGCCGCCGGCCAGCGCCGTCAGGTTGCTGGTTGAGTGTCGCCGCAGGAAGCCCGGCGCGAAGCTGGAGCTGGGAGGGGTCACCGGGGTCCCCACGGCTTTCTTATCCAGCATGCTGCTGAGGTTGGTCAGGGACTTCTCCGTCTGCCGGGGCGGGGAGAGGGGAGGGGGTGGGGGAGACAGCGGGAGAAAGAGAGTGTTGCGGGTGACCGCCTGCCCACCGCCGCGGCTCCCCACGCCGCCCCGCAGGGCGCGCCGCGGCGGTCGGGGTGGGGGTCGCGCCGCCCGACCGGCTCGCAAAGCGCGTCCGCTGCCAGCGCCGGTGGGGCAGGGCAGGGCAGGGCCGGGGAGAAGCTCCTGCGCCAGCTCTGCTGCATCTGCAACTTTTTTCAAAAGTTTCTCCGGGCAGCGCAACACGCGGGCAGGCGCAGCGGGGCGGCCTGGCAGCCCCGCGGCTGCAGGATCAGCCCGCCCCGAACGCGGCCGCCGGGAGGCCACGGGGCGGCATTCCGGGGCTCGCAGCCTTGCGCCAGGCCCCCGACCGGCTGTCAGACCGCGACCCGCCCGCAGAGCCCGGCCCGCTCTCCCACCCCGCCGCGGTGCCCCAACCCCAGCAGCCCGGAGAGTCGCCCCGCACCCCGAAGTATCGCCAGCCCAGCTCCCGCCCGGGTAAGAACGCTCTTCCCTACCTTGCACAAGAAGTCAATGTCGTAGAAGGCAGATAAAAGTGTCGTCGACATTTCTAGATCCTGTAATGGTCGGAAATACAGGAAGGACCGAAAGATCCCGCTGTCCTCGGAGGGTTTGGAAAAGCCACGACTAGATAGGAGGGGGCCGTCTGCTTGAGATCCGAAACGGTCCCGACTCCTTCCCGGCGGGACGGCGGGTGCCGGGCCGAGGCGGCGACGGCGGCTGCACAGCAGCGGGCGAACTGCGGGAACTCCGCGGCGCCCCGCGCCGCCCCCATATAAACGCGACTGCCCGCGGCCCGCGGGGGCGGTGCCCCGCTCTGCCCGCCCCGCGCCGCCCGCTGGGCCCGCCCCGCCCCAACCCGCCGGCCAGGCCGTCCCGAGTTTGGCAGAGGGCGCAGGCAGCGGCGGCTGGGCAGGCTGGCCCAGTCAAGGAGTGCCCCGCAGTCAACCCCCGGTACCCCGAGCCGGGTGTGCCTGCTGTGGCGGCAGCACGGGTAGGACGGGGCAGGAGCAGCGAGGAAACAGCCGAGGCAGCGCTCACCGCGCCCTGCGGGCTTGGTCCCCGCGCATCGCCCCTCGCTGCATCCCTCTCCAAAGACCCCGACGCCCTCGCGTTGCTGCGGCCCCCACCATCGTCCCGGAGCCGCCCGCGCTCAGCGGCCGCGTCGGCGGGCGGGTGACGGCGGCTGCCGCGGAGCGGAGGGTGCGCGGTGCCGCGGGAGGGGCGCGGCAGCGCCGGGGTCACTTCTTCCCCCCGCCCCGCCGAGAACAAACTTATGCCACGTAATTGGTTTGAAACAAAGGTCGGGTCCGCGCTGCCCCGATGCGGCCGGCGGGACGGGGCTGGGCACGGGCGGCCCGCCCCGCCGCTTCTCCCTTCTTTTCGGGGAGCTCGACTTTGGTGCTTATTTTTTGTTTTTCTTTCTGTTTGGAGTCTAGGACAGGTTGGCTGGTAGGCGCGGGTGCGAGGCGGCGTTAACCCCGCCGCCGGCCGGGCTGATCCACGACCCCCACCCAACGCCTCTGTGCTTTTCCCTCCTCCTCCCGCGTCGCGCACCCCTCCCCCGTCTCCCTCCCACGCTCGCCCCCTTCACTTCTCACCCCCCGCCAAGGTCCTGTGACCCGCCGCACCTCCCCCCCCCTTCCCCCCCGGCCCCCCGTGCCCCTCGCGGGCGGAGGCAGTGGCCGGTGCCCGCGGCGGGGCTCCCTCCAGGGACGGGGCACCCTCCCGGGACGGGCCCGGCCCCCGTCCAAGGCGGGCCGGGAGCCGCCGTGCAAAACACCCCCCGCCCCCCCCGCGCCGATAAGGCTGCGCAAACACGACTTTGTGAAAGGCGGGTGCGGAGGCACCTTCGCATTACCCCCGTCCCCTCCCGCGTTTGCTCGGCCCCAGGACAAATGGGAAGCAGAACACAGACGAGCGAGCGTGTAAAGTTTTATGGCTGCTAAAGCCAGCACAAGTGTTTGATCGTCTGTAGCTTCCGAGCCGGAATGTCAGGCCTGCGACATCCAAGGGTGCAAACCTGACCACGTCAGCAAGAGCGCGGCGCTGTGAAAACACATTTGCAAAGCAAAGAAACTTCGGCGGGGTGGGGAAGGGGAGGGGGGTGTCATCAGAGCCCCTCGCTGCGGGGTTTCAGACTCGACGCCCCCCCCCCCCCCCCCCCCCCCCCCCCCCCCCCCCCCCTTTCCCCCCCCCCCCCCCCCCCCCCCCCCCCGCCACGCGGCTCCCGCGCCCGTTTGCTTCCTCCCCTCCGCCTCCTTCCTCCTCCTCCTCCCACGCGGCTGCGAAGGGGGGGCCGCAGGAGGGACCCGGGGGGCGCCCCCTGGCCGCCCGGACACGGGCACCGCCCGCGAGCCGTCACCCGCGGCGGGACGGGCCCGGCCGCCAAGATCGAAAAATCCCCGGGGAAAGACGAGGAGCTGGGGGGGCGGAAAGCCCAAACCTCGCTCCTTCCTGTGTCCCGGCCGTTTACTGGGGCCCGTCCCTCTCTCGGCGGGTGCTGCTGGACGCAGTTCGGCCGGCCCCGTTCCCGGCCTCCGGCCCCATTCCCGGCCCCTCCCGCTGCCCGGGAGGCTCGCGGGCTCCTGGCGCCCTCTAGCGGCCGCCGGGCCCGGCGGCAGCGGCTCCTCCGCCCAAGGGTCCCGGGACAGATCCCACATTGCTGCCTCTTCCCCTCCTCCCGCCCTGCCGGGAGGCGACGGCTCCCGACCCGGCAACAGGCGCTGCCCCGCACCCGGGGAGCCGCTGCAACGAGGCAATGCCGCAGACGCGCGGGATAATGTGCATTCCTTCCCATAACCTCCTCCCGGGCCGGTCGGAGTTGCCTGCACGCTGACCCTCCCACACATCTCTGCCAGGGAAACGACCTCGGAGCAGATCCTGCCCGCCAGCCAACCGAGACTGCAGTTTACGGTGACAGTCATGCACGGATCAATGTGTCATCGCCATTGGGAGGAATACTTTGATAAACTGACTTTGATCAAACACACGGCCGATAAGCGCTCAGGCATCAGGCTTTGCTAACCCTCTCCCGCAATTGCTGCACAGGGTTTAAAGGTTCTTCTCTGAGTAGTTACACAGTAACACAAGCCACCAGCACCGTGTGGTGAAATGTAGGTGCGCTGATATAATTCTTATTTGCTCTCTATAAACTGAGGCGGAATGACAGAGGTTCCAGTTGCATCTTAACACCACGATAAGGAAGACCGAGTTTTCGAGCTGTTTGGTTACTGATTAACCAAGTCCTCAAGGCTTCATTGAATTACTTAAGTTTTATGGTCACTCCGGGTCTACTACTATACTGTCACCTCTCTGCATTTACCCATTTGCCAGTATTAAATATATGTGTATATGCGTTTTAAATTCTACCCCATTAAAAAAAATTAAAAAGCCAGTGTCACTAGATAGTCTCATGCTCCCAGTGACATGAGCAAGGTTATACAAATGATACATAAAAAGTTGGATTTTATGTCTCTTATTACTAAACGCTGTTGCCACACTAGTTCAAAAATGATGGTAAGATGTGACAAAACCAGCAGCTGTTAATTAATTGTCCAAATTGACTATTTTTAAAGAGTGGCTTCCAGACGTGATCTGGGCTGTTCCTTTCCCTGGGAGCTCAAACCAGATGCAAACAAATTAATTTTTAGCCTAAGCTGCACTGTGGCTCATTAAGTTGGGTAGCGGGCATTCTGTAAAACATGTCAGATTCCAGCATTTCCTTTTTGCCTATTGAAGCCTCAAGTTTCATCGTAAATTACTTATATAAGTAACCCCGAATCCTGGAAACTTACAGACACTCCTTAATTTGTTATCTTTTTTTTTTTTTTTTCCGGTACTGACTTTGTTTTGTGCAGCGTTCAGATGTCCACTAGACCCAACTCAGCAGATCCTCTCGATTTACAGCAGATTCTGTTTGAACTCAAGAGGAGGGCAGCAATCGGCTGTCGGGCACTGCGGCACGCAGCCTCTGCGAGCGGCGCGGTCCCAAGCCTTGCCTCCCCAGGCTGAGCCCGGCCCGGCCCTGCCCGGCTGAGCCCTGCCCGGCTCTCGGGAAGGGCCCGGCCCATCCCGCGTACGGCGGTGCCGCGGCGCCACCTGCGGGCCGAGAGCCGCAACGCTCACCCCTTACCTGCCGGTCACCGGCACTGACGGGCCAACCCTGCTCACACACGGTTAGCTGAGGAGGCTGAAAGCACACAGTCCTTCACTGGACATGGATCTTCTTCCGAGGAGACCGAAGTAACGGCGTGCAGGGGCGCACATCCATGTTGTGGGGGGAGCCCGGCCGTGCCCAGCCAGTCACAGCCCTTGGCTGCAGGAAGGTAACAACCTTTTCACGGCAATATTTACTTTCGATGTCTCGTTTTCATACTGAAACCCAATGTCAGTTCCCAGAAAAACACATTTCAACGCACAAACAAGCATTTTTGTAGTTCAGGCACAGGATCACCGTAAAGCACTCAGAACAGTCCCCACAGCCGCCCTACCCGAGTGCCAGTGAGAGCATCTCTCAAAAGCAAGGGCTGGAGCACGGAAACCCCTATGGTAGCTTCAGAGGGGCCCCACACTACTCAGCAGGACCTTACTTTCCAGGCCTGCTTGCAGAGCAAGGTGTTTTAAAGTAAAGATGAAACTGTTTTGTTCGCAATGGAACAGCTGCTTCGTTTTGAACACAGCGGTCTTCATTTTAGAACCATTTTATGAACACAGTTATTTGATTTAAAGGAAAAAAGAGGCGTGCAGAAGTCTAAGTAATGCTGTTTCCATGTGGAAAACAAGGTTACTACCAAAGTGAAAATCCTTGCCTTCCTCCAGAGGAAAATACAGTAACATTTAAAATATACTCTAAAAATTGTCACGGACAAGAGGAACAGTTTGTTCCTTTTCCTTTAGAAACACTTAAAAATAAAAATAGCATATTAATTTAGTAATTAACATGCTACATTTTGTAAGGAGACCGAAACAATACACTTTTCCTTGGTACTCAGATACAGGAGGTAAAATATGGGATAAAATGCATACAGGTGGCCTGCACCTGGCTGAATGGAAAATACTAGGTTTACCTGCTTTACTTCCTACATTGGCTGTAATAAACAATGCTCAGCTGAATGAAATTAGCAAATGCATTTAAAAGGAACAGTCTCCCACAGCATGTCTGATAAAAAAAAATTATCCATGGAGTCATATATAAAAATGTAGTTTTAGCCTGAATACTGAATAGTTTGTTGCAGGTTTACTGGAGTCATCCTGATTCCTTGAACATTGCTGGAATTCAGTCTCCCTGAGAGAACGTGTGCATGCTCCCTGAGGATGAACTTTTAGTAACATACTTCTCCAGATTTTCATTTTTGCAAGTATCATCAGACTTCAGCAGATTCAGTATTTTAAGACAGAGAAATATTCTCTCATTTTGAATAGCCAATCTTGTGAATTCTGCAGTTCTGGAAAATTCTGGAGCTGGAGGCAGTGCTCGAAGGTGCTGTTCAATGAGCTGGGCTTGGTCCAGTGCTGTTATCGATAGTTGCTTCAGTTCTCCATGATGTGGTAACGTTAGATGAGTCACTGATATGAGCTGTAAAAGGTGCTTACTCAGTTGTCTAACATGAGTCAACTTCTCTGCCCAAAAATTCACTTCTCCTTTATCAAACAGATAATCATCTTCTTCCTTAACAAAAAGAAAAACAACCATGATTAGGAAATGACTTGTAGTTTCATAATAATGAGAAAATCATAAAAGATACAAAAAAGGATATATACAGAAACAGAAGGTGTCACAGAATCAGTTCTTTGTATTAAAAAAAAGGTAGAAATTCACATGCATTTTTTAAAGGTTTTGGAACTACATTGTCAAAGAAATTTTACCTTCAAAAATCAGGCAGTTATGGTACAAGTCTTGGGAAACAGTGGAAGTAAATAGTAGTCCTAATCCTTAACATGTGCTTGAAACAGTCTTATATTTCACAGAGACCTCTCTGTAACCAGTATGGTAATTTGCTATATCATGGTGCTTTTTGAGTGGATTAAATGAAAAAGGAAAATTGTATCAGTCAGTGAAACTTAGAAAGGCATACCTAAACCATGGGCTTAAGGAACGATTCATAATACATTTCGTGGGTCATATCAATTGTCAAGAAACTTCTCAAAGATGTAGCTGCTCCTGCTCCTTCCGGTTTACCTTCCAGAATTATTTTGATTTTTACAGTCTTTTCAAGACAAAAAGAGCACAACGTATTATATGGTATTAGGCTTTGCAGAACCAGCATGGCAGAGTTTTTCTTTACAGAAATAATCTTTCTGAAGACAGTAACTGATGAAAGCAAGGCCATTTCATGTGCTGTGCAGAACCAATCATATGTGAGATGGCATAAAGTTACCAAATATTTAAATGCCATCTCTGGAAAAGCCAGCAGTTGGGAGAGCACTTTTCTTGAGCACCAAATGTGCCTGGCACCCACAGCAGCAGTTTAAATTCAAGGCAAGCCATCATCTGCAACAAGACTGAATGTAATTACATTTCAGCCTCAAAATATTTCAGTCAACAATGACTTTTGAAGTAACTCTTTGTTTATTTCAAGGCCTGCTTATTGACCTCTTTAATTTTATGCTGATATTGCCAGGAAACAGGTATCAAACTCTATTTTTATTCTACATATTATCCATGTGCGTTTTTTTTTTTTTTAATTGTAAATCAGTTAATACTGCAGTAGTGATCATCAGACTTCATCAAATGAGATATTTCAATCCATTCCTACCACACGACTGCAGAAATGCAGTGCTTCCAACACGGTATAGCAACTGGTTGTTAAAATTACCAGGGCTGAAGTCTCCGAATCTCTTTGCAGGTCGCTGTCTCCCAGCAGCCATTCCAGCAAGATCAGCACACCAGCATGGATCTCCCCCCACCGCTGCAGCAGCTCACACACTATGCCAAATGCTAAATCTAAGGCCATTGGAGCATTCACTATCCTAAGTGCAAACTCTGTTGGGAGAAAATATGTGTAAGAATACAGAGCAAGACCACAAACATTTTCAAATAAAATCAGCACAAAAAATGATTTCTTGAAAACAGATGCTGAATTTACACAAACACATGTAGAATGATGAATTATACTGCACTAAGTTAGATGAATGTTTACTTCTGTGCCACTTGGGGCCTTTCCTCAATTCCAAAATAATACATGGAGCAATTGAAAATGCTGATGCTTAATTTTTTTCCCTCCCCATGTAGTGACATTTATTAATTTGGTTTTAAATATAAAATGTGTCTGTTACAAATGTCTCAAGAGACAGTCCTGATCCTATTACATGGTGACTATTTTTGCAAAACTACAGCTATGCCTTAGATCTGATTTGATGTTTTCACTGGAACTCAAAACCTATAACACATGATATGTTTTTAAAGGGCTGGGATATAAAATGAATAATTATTTGGTGTGCAATCTCTTTATATATAAGATAGACATATATACACACACATGTAAGAGAGATCAGGAACAAAGACAGGCATAGAAAAGACGTTTGAGAAGGGAAAGGCAGACACTGTTTACAATATCATCACAGAGCTATATTTATACTGTTTTTGGCATCATGCCAGAACTGTACACAAAGCCATCATCCACAGTGTATTTCTTCCCTAAACTTCCTCACTGCTCTCATTTGGGCAGATGCTTTTTTAACTGTGTGGGTCCTAAAGCTGCCCTCAATAACAGAGGATATAAAAATGCCAGAAGTCCCATTTGCAGGAGACCTCCAACAACTGTGTTCACAGGTAGGAGTTTCACCACTCGTAACATTAATGCTTTTTTTTTTTTTTTTTTTTTTTAAGGGGATGAGGGAAGAGGACTAGAAGAGGAAGAGCTAATAAACAAGTCCCCGTAAAATCCCTATTACTGTAAAAAGGATTTGGGCAAAATTCATCCTTGTCCATAGTCACCAGCAAATGAAAAAATGTTCCCTGTGAATGGTCTGTCTTCTAAATAATGGTATCATAAGGGCATGCCATTCTTGAAGGATGTAATTTGCAAGCAGACAAGATAGCAGAGTCAGAACTATTTGGTAAAAACCCATATAGACATGGAAAGCAGACCTTACTTTTTGTGTCTTTCTGTACTGAAGCATTTCTCATGAAGCAAAACAACTACTGACATAAAAGAGGAACAGCAGTGCAGCTGAGACTTGTCCCTCACAACCCACATTCAGAGCTGCAGCACAGACCTCTGTTCTGTAACCCTTCCCGAGGCCTCAGGCCAGCTGCAGGTTTTCTGGACTACGTTGGCACAGACAAGAAACTCACAGTAAAACACCAGGACTGGGCAAATACGCGTGCCAATGAATGCAGGAAACATCTAAGGGCAAAACAGACTGATGGAAAGATGGGTATGTGTTATTTGACAGACCAGGCAATGTACTGAGGACATTGGGGAGGATGAATTAGTATTTGAGACCATGAGGACAAAGGACCATAATAAGGAAGGGAATGAAGGAGAAAGAACAGATGGTCCCTTCTTTATCCTGGAGTTAGATGAGGGTAAATGGAAATCTCCTTGAACAAGCAACAGGAAGGCAGGCAGTCAATCTCTTCGTGACACTAATAATGTTACATACACGGTTTGTCTCTGCTAGACAGTAAAATCAAATGTTCAAATCTGCTTGCATCATGTCAGGAATTATCACTGTATCAGGATATCCCTGAGCCTTGTCCATGAGAGAGAGCTTGCAATGGTGCAGTACAATATCTCTTACAGGTAATGGATTTTTTTAGGTATTATTTTTGCTGATATTTCCTTCCAGGAATTTGTTTGGGGTTTTTTTGTTTGTTTGTTTGTTTTGTTTTTAAAAAACCCTTGCTTTCTCTATTGCTCTGCCCTGTTTGGTATGAGTCTGATAGTCCAAAGAATGGGCACAGTGATTGTTCTCTCTGTTTTGATTTGCTTAGAGTCAGGTGGAAAACAGTTTAATTCGAGTGCAATAGGGACATCAGAAATCCTGGCCATCCTCAGAGCTGGAAGAACAGAGATTAAAATGGAGTCTGGTGTTCTGAGCCTGAAGCAAATATCTTGGTTATGAATGCTTACAAAATGCAACACTTTAAACACAGCTCTTTTGAGTTCTGATGATCCTTCAGAGTTTTATGGATGATTCCTGAATGCCTGCAATTGTCAGTATTTATATAAGATCTCTTGCTTGTGTCACTTTATATTTGAATATATCCCAGGGATACTGGGAGCTAACAGCCAAACATGATATTTCCCACTGCTGAGCTCACCATTTCTTTGGAGGACCGACTATAGATACAACTGCTATTTTCTGGGGCCTTCTCTTCCTTTTTAAGGTTTGGACTCCTTAAGTGAAACAGGAGAATGCTGGACTACTGAGAAATGCACCACGAAATAGACTTGGGCCTCTAATTCTGTTATTACGTGAACGTGCTGAAAACTACCAAGAGGTAGCAAAACAAGTAATGCTGAGGTCCTGCTTAGACTGAACTTGCTTGCTAGCAGTTTTTCAACAGCATGACACAGAAGAAAAGGCAGCTTTGTGGTCACAGAGTATGGCAGTCTCGTAGAGAATCCTACAAGTTGCGACAGAGGAAACGGCAAGTCTTTTGTTGTTGTTGCTGTTTTGGTTTCTTTCTTCAAAGAAGAAAAGATAAAAAAATACAGGAAAAACACGTAAAGGCAGCGTAGCACACAGGAAAAACATGAACACTGAACGCAGTAGTGACCCAAAAGATGTCAACCACCCTTCTGTGAACTGCAGACACGATTTACCTGATCAACCAAACTCATGTGTCAGTTCTGACACTGAAACCGGAAAAAAACAAAGCAACATCATTTTGATAATGCTAAAACTTAGGGTTCAAAAATTTGGGTAAGAGCCTGCGTACCTTGGCTTTGTGCTACAGAAGTCAGCACAGCAGCGTCCTGGTACTTCAGGTGTTGACACAAACTCAACAACAGATCCAAGTCTGGCAGATGAAGAATTTTCACTTGTACCTGCCCACCCCATACCACTACTGCAGAGTGTCAGGAATGGCTCCAGAGTTTCTGAACTGCTTTCTCAGCTGCTATTACTTACAGAACATACTGACAAAACAGTTCACTCAAATCTGATGCTAGAATAGTTCAAGATCAGATTTGTGGACTACCAATGCCACAAAGGCAACAAAAGAGATGTAGCGTACCTTGGAGTGCCGAAGTAATACAAATGAATAACAGTAAGAAAAGTTATGTATATGTGTACCCAGGATTTAAGAGGTAAAAAACACTTTCACAGGGGAGAATGTTCTATTGCTTTGATGACCCCCAGCTCTAAAAGTAACAGCTATGGATGCTGTAAACAAATACAGAATCTTTCAAGATACCCAAAAAGGTGTGTCTCTTCTAAAAATAAATGTATGTGTCTTCACTGACGTTTTAAATGCTTACAAGAACTGCTCCTCACATCCTCATTTGCCTGCAAAAGCAGGGCTGATTTTCAAGAAACCACATACTACACACGATGCTGTGTTCGTGACTCACGGTATGACTTCAGAGAGTGGTCTGAGCAAGATGGAAGTTCACCAGGGGCAAAAAGGGCAGGTGGCTCTCCGTTCAGCTCAGCCCCCTCAGGCCATAGGCCCCCGATGCTTACCTGGTAGCCAGCTCAGGCACTCTGCTGATCACTGGGTAAATTAAAGCTCAGAAGAGCCGAATAGGCATTTGGCACGCAACTTGGCGTGTGGGTTCTCCTGCTTGGCTGGCAGGCTGAGCTGGTTGCCCTGTAGTCAGAATTGGTATAGCTGGGGGCTGGGGGAGGGAAGATCACAGGACAGCACAGGGAAGGAAAGAAGCCAAAGGGAGAGCGAGACCTCCCCGTTCAGCAAGCTGTTAGCCCAGGTCAGCTCTCATCCCAAACTTCCCCATCAGAGCCTTACAAACACAATGCTAACAGAGATTATTTAAATGAATGAGTATTAATAGAATTTCATAATGTAACTATCTATTTAAAGTAATTGAATAAAAAAAAAAAAAAATTCAAATGACAGATTTACAGAAGCAGCCACAGCTGATTATTGACACAGGAACTAAACCAGCAGAAATCGAACCCGGAGATGTCACTATTGCCAAACACTGAAAATACAGTAGAGCTCCTTCCACAACAGTTCTACAGACTATCAAAACTGTGTTAAAAATATAATTCTTTAAAATTCTGAAATGTGCATATGATCCAATGTGCAAAAACATCACGACCAAGATAACCATCTTCCTTTATAGGCAACTACAGGGGCTGAAATACAAAAAATTCTCTACGACTTAAAACAAGTAGTTACAAGCAGAAGAATTAATACTGCTCATTGAAATGAAAAATAAAGATAAGAATCAGGTACTACATGCTTGTTTAATTTTGAGGAATATTTTCATAAAGGGAAAAGGGTTAAGTACTGCAGTGTTTTAGTCTTTGTGAATCCACCCACTTAAAAATTAGACCTCCCACATACACATTCATGTACTCCAAAAGCTTTGATCATGCCAGATGTAAATATTTCTTCTAGTAGCCTATTACGTGTCCTGCAACTATACAATTGTTCTCTGTTAAAACCTCGGTGATATTATGGGGAACTGAAAAGATGTATTAAGAGCACATACACAGATTTTAAGGACAACCATGATAAAGTATAGGCAAAACAGAAAAACAGAACATATTCCTGGCCTAACAAAGCATTTTGTAATCAGTTTTGTACTGGGAATTGTTAACTAAAGTTCATTCTAGTTTGAAGAGTAATGCAATTTTTGTAAAGGCATACTGTGTTCAGAACAAACATAAAGAGAAGTAAAACTGCAAGGCAGCTTAGTGTAACAGCCCTGAGGGAAAGCCTCAGTGTACCAACAGCAAGGATGTTTTCAAGGAAAATATATAGGGTAAGTTCTTCCACTGAAACTACAGAAAGTATTTTAGGCAGACTGTTTACCATCTGAACTGGCAAAATATTTTTTACTTTCTTGCACAAAGTGCTGCCTACCTAGCTATAAATATTAATACATCACAATCAATATTGTACCTCATAACACCCTGGTAAAATGAGGTAGGTATTCTTGCCTCAAAAGGCAAGCATGGACATTTAAAGCAACAAAGACCGCTCTTGACAAAACTGGGGATTTCTCTCATGTTTTCTGATACATCACCGTAACAAGATCCTGAGTATCAAGCAAGAC